AATTTATAGGCCTTGTTTACCGAAAAAGGCTTCCGTCCCGCTTTACAAAGAAAGCAATCCACCAAAGTACAACGTCCAACATCAGTGAAAATACAAACGCACCCACACATGCCGCAAGCAAAGTAGCACGCCGCACGCACGCAAAGTAGCACAACACATGGTTCAGTCGAAACCTGGGCGTGGCGGAGTTTAGCAGGCCCAAGAATATCATAATTCGGCAAATGGATGAGAAGAAGGAGGAGGAGAAGAAGAAGCCGGCATTTCTTGTTGCCCACGACAGTGATGACGCGGTGATGGCGAGGTTCGTGCCGGAGCATCCGGAGTATGTCTAGGCTGAGTGCTAGTTCTTTTAGAAGTGTGGGGCCCAGCGAAAGAAGAAGGCAGTGAAGGAGGACGAGGCCGGCCCCTCGTCGGTGATCCCCATCAAGTCTGACTCCTCGGGCTGGGATGACTCGGAGGATGACCACGAGTGTGAAGACCCAACCAAAGGACGAGTATTGGGAGCAGTTGAACAACGACGATCAGTTGTTTTATGTTTGATGTAGTTCAAGTGGACTTGGAGTATGGGTAGCCTAGTGGGCTGAGACTGGAACCACTTAGTAGTAGCACTGGGTGGACGGCCAGCGCTACTGCTACGGAGATACCAGTAGCGCGGGTTCGTGACAAGCACTGCTGCTATATAGTAGGAGCACTGCCTCTCCACCCCACGCTAGTGCTAAGGTTCTACCTATAAGCTTTCTCCTAGTAGTGCAGTGACATCCCGCACTAGCTCTGCACGCTCCTTCCCGTCAGCATACTCGACCTGTCAAACAACCGGCTTACCAGGAACCTAAAGCCAGGCAAGCGCATCTTATCTACAAAAAGAAGGTTAAGCTTTGACTAGGAAACAAAAATGAGACAATGAAAGAATTTATTTGTACATGGAGAGAAAATAAGAGAATGTACAATGGGACCAGGAGGTGCACTTTCTCTTCAGAAGCTGCTTGCCTACGTCCACTTAGCCAAAGGATCCTCCTAACTAGCGAACGATTCTTCAGGATAGGTGACACATGCAAACAATTTGATTGCATTTTTAGTTCTGATGAAGTGGGGAGAGATGATATTTTCTTCAGAAGACATGCCAGTTCTTCCCGAGAAGGCAATTTTCATTCGAACACTATCATTGTTTGATCCCGTTTTACAACTAAAGCTGCCAGCAAAGATGGTTCGTTTGTCACCTCCTCTCAGGAAACGTTCGTCGGGTACAATTAACAATTACCATAGCCAAATGCATTCATGCACGACGCATGTGAAGCTGGCGCGAGCAAATTAAGCACGGAGGTACCCAAATGCATTCATGCGCGACGGCCCCAATAAAAAGCCGTCGGCATATTAGGTAATTTATGTAGTGGATGTTAGAGATGTATTTGGTAGTTATAGATAGATTAGAAAATAATTCTTCTCATCTTATCTCTAGGAGCCTTTTTGCCCTCCAAGTCTTGTGCCTCTATATATACTCGCATTATGTCAATTATCTCCTCTCTAATCCTCTTACGGTCTTGTGTTAACTTCCTTGTGGAAGCGCATGCACCATGGTCTGACCTCGCTCGGAGAAAGAAAATTCGATTCTCGCGATGCACGACTCGATCAGGAGAGGATGTTCAGAATATTCCCTAAAACCATTACAGTCAACTATACATGGCTTTATTCTTCTGCACCGTTAACACTTGGATTCACCATAAGACGGCAAGCAATTTCAAATTGGTTTATCAACTATACAGAATTGTGTTGTCACTGAAAAAAAAAACTTGTATTCAGCATGAACGGGCCGGCCGGATCAGAGCCGAGCATCTTGCCGTGTGTCTTCGACGTAATCTCATACCTACCTCGTAAGGTGATATACACAACTACCTCCGTCTCGGTGAATAAGTCATTCGCATAGTTCTAGGTCGACGATTTAACTATCTAAATATATATTATATGTGATAAAAATATATGTTTAGAAACTACATCCATGTAGAAATCTACTGATATACTTTTTATGACATATAACACATATTTAATTGCTCAAATCGATGACCTAGAACTACGTGAATGACTAATTCACCTAGACGGACGTAGTACTTCGAACAACCGTTAGGTTATGTTCAGTTAACGGTCCATATCAGTTTAGGTGCACCTTGAAATTATCATCTGGATACTGTTCGAGTAGATATGGGCAACATCGACATGTGGTTAAATAGTTCTGTAACCATATTTTATATTTTCGTTCGTATCAAACTACCCTTTAAGTTTGTTTGAGACTAGGTTGTTAAAGAAGTTGAGCACAACGTACTTAGTCTCAGACTAGGCTTTCTAAACATTCATTTGATTGGACATTATTGGACTTGGTGTATGTGTGTGCGTTGCTTGATTGGTGCTCTTCGCCGGCGCTATTCGTCACGGTGTCTGCCGGCCGGCGGTATGCACACAGATGACGAGGGCCAGCCGGCCAGGACACTGCTGTAAATAACTCGGGTACGGTGCAGACCACAGAGCGTATGATTTTCTGCCGCACGAAACGGAGCGCCGGCCGATCCATCCATATATATGTGTGTGCGCGCGCGATCTTCTGCGGATTAGATTTTCCCTACTCAACCATCGCGGCCAGGGTCGGGGACATGAGGAGACCAACCCAAGCGCATCTCGCCGGCACTGCCGCGCTCTTCCTGCTACTGGCGGCCACCATGCCGGCAACGACAGTTGCCGTGGTGTCCTCTGAGGCCGATGCCCTTCTAGCATGGAAGGCCAGCCTCGTCAACTCCACCGCGCTATCTAACTGGACCCGGGTCACGCCGGTATGTGATTGGGTAGGCGTGTTCTGCAACATCAATGGCCGAATCAGGGGGCTAAATCTCCCGAGACTTGGTCTCTCCGGCGAGCTCGACAAGCTCGACACCGCGGCGCTTCCGGAGCTTGCCACTCTGATCCTTTGGAGGAACAACCTCGGAGGCCCCATCCCAGCCAGCATATCGCGGCTGCGCTCCCTCGAACATCTCAACCTCGGCGGCAACGGGTTCAACGGCTCCATCCCGCCGCAGCTTGGTGACATGCCCAACCTCACCTTCATCGATCTCTATGAGAACAACCTCGTTGGTGAGATCCCGCGCCAGCTCTGCAACCTTCTCTCCGTCCGGTCACTGAACATGTTCCACAACCGTCTCACCGGGGAGCTCCCGAACTGCTGGTGCAACCTCCAGTCTCTGTGGTACCTGCGCCTGTCGAACAATCGGCTCACCGGGGAGCTCCCGGACTGCTGGTGGAGCCTACAGGCTCTGCAGTTCTTGTTCCTGTCCAACAACAACTTCTCAGGTGAAATCCCAGCGGCTAAGGCAAGCCACAAGTGCTCTCTCGCGTCACTATCTCTTGCCAATAATGCCTTTGCTGGAGCCCTCCCACTCCTAGAGGGTTGCGACTCGCTCGCTATCCTCGACCTCAGCAGCAATATGTTTAACAACACCATTCCGCCGCAGCTCAGTGGCATGCGCAGCCTCACCGACCTCCGGCTCTACAATAACAACCTCGTCGGGAACATCCCGCACCAGCTCTGCAGGCACCTCTCCATCCAGATACTGGACCTGTCAAACAACCGGCTCACTGGGGATCTCCCGGACTGCTGGTGCAACTTTCAGGCTCTGATGTTCATGGACCTATCAAACAACCGTCTCAACGGTAAGCTCCCGGACTGCTGGTGGAACCTGGAGACTCTGATTTTCATGGATCTATCCAACAACTCCTTCTCAAGTAAAATTCCCGCAGCTGTGGCAAGCCACAACTGCTCTCTTAGGTCTCTTTACCTTGCCGGAAATGGCTTCATTGGTGCCTTCCCGCCTGTTCTAGAGGGTTGCAACTCGCTGGACACCTTGGACATGGGGAATAACAAGTTCTTTGGTGTTGTCCCTCCATGGATCGGGACTCACATCCCATTGTTGAGAATCCTTAGCCTCAAATCAAACAATTTCACTGGAGAAATTCCTCTAGAGTTATCACGCCTTTCAGAACTTCAGCTGTTGGACATTTCAAACAATAGCTTGACCGGCTCGATTCCGCTAGGCTTCGGCAGCTTGACCTCCATGAAGCATCCACAAAATCTATCGACTACGGAACTGCCCAACGAGTGGAAATACTATGATAGAATCGACATAATCTGGAAGGGCCATGAGCAGAAATTTGGAAAAGCGATCCAGTTATTAACCGGTATTGATTTGTCGGGCAATTTGTTGTCTCGGTGCATTCCTGAAGAGCTAGCCAACCTTCAGGGCATCCAATTTCTAAATCTGTCGAGAAACCATCTATCATGTAGCATTCCTGAAAACATTGGTAGTTTGACTTTTCTTGAGTCCCTTGATCTATCATCTAATGGACTTACAGGAGCCATTCCGTCGAGCATCTCGAGCGTACCGTGGCTCACCACGTTGAATGTCTCGAACAATCTTTTATCGGGCAAGATACCCACCGGGAATCAGCTTCGGACCCTGACTGACCCATCAATTTACTCCAACAATTCTGGGCTCTGTGGATTTCCTCTAAACATTTCATGTACGAATACTTCGCTTGCACCAGATGAGAGAAATGGTGAAGAGGAGGACCACTGGATGTACTACTGTGTGATTGCTGGGATTGTGTCTGGTCTCTGGTTGTGGTTTGGGATGCTCTTTACAGTTAAGTCCTTGAGATGTGGTTTTCTTTCCTTTGTTGATGGCATGCAATGTAAAATTATGAAAAAGTTGTGACATTAGCTGTGTTATCTGCAATGCTGTACCTCTTTCATTTTTGTTGGCGAATGTACAATGTTATACCAATGTAATAGCATCGAATCGTTTGGTAAATTTGGTCGCAATGCATGTCACTCACATTTTTCTTCTCAAATTGATTTGATTACGTTCTTGCCTGTACAATGCATCTCACTCACATTTTTCTTCTCTGGCTCTACTTGACTATTCTGTCAATCTCTTCTACGACGTATTCGATTCATCTCACGTTCACCTGAAGGGGCTGGCTGTCGTCGTCGGCTCCGTGAACGTCTCCAGCCGCGGCTCCGTCAGGTCCACCTCCTCCTGCTCCGCCGACCGCCAGCTCCGCCCCATCGTCGTCATCATCGTCACTGGCATCCCGACGTTAACCATGACCTCTCCGGACAAGACGGCGCCCTTGGCATTGCTGCCGTTCCCTCCGTGCAGGTGATCGCGGCGATGGCCGTAGTCGTCGTCGTCCTGCCACACTGAGCATTCCCGCGGCCTCTCGGCGTGGATGCCCGGGGCGAAGGCGCCGGCGGCGGCGGGCAGGTGGAAGGGCCAAGAGTATAATATCCGAGAAACGCCGTTGTACCAGGATAGGATCCGCATAACCTAGAAGGGCCAAGAGCTAATTTTCCAAAGAACACTCAGTTTACTAATGGGTATTGATTTGTCGGACAATTTGCTGTCCCGGTGCATCCCTGAAAAGCTAAACAACCTTCAGGGCCTTCGCTTTCTAAACCTAACAAGAAACCATCTGTCATGCGGCATTCCTGAAGATATTGGTAGTTTGAAATTTCTTGAGATCTTAGATCTATCATCTAATGAACTTTCTGGAGCCATTCCTTCGAGCATCACGAGCATATCTGGGCTCAGCGCGTTAAATGTCTCAAACAATTTTCTGTCAGGCAAGATACCGGTTGGGAGACAGATTCAGACCCTAACAGCTCTGGGCTTTGTGGGCTTCCTCTGGACACTCCATGTGCAGATACTTCAATTGTACCGGATGAGACAGATGGTGAAGGGGAGGACCAGTGGATGTACTATTTTGTGATTGATGGGATTGTGTTTGGTTCCTGGATATGGTTTGGGATGCTCTTTACAATTGATACCTGGAGATGTGCTTTTCTCTTCTTTGTCAATGGCATGCAATGTAAGATGATGAAGAAGGTGTGACATTAGTTGTGTTCTCTACTTTGTAATACCAATAGAAAAATGCATGAAGGAAAATTCATTTACTTTGTTATGCAACAGACAAAAAAACTCCAAAAGACCATACATTCTATCTTAAAAAACTCTTAAGTAGTCATTAAGATTGTACAATATCTTCTATACAATCCTTTTGAACATAAGCTTGAACCCGTGCTTCACTTCTCACTATGATTGTGTAGTTTGCTGGAAAAAAGGCAAACTGCCAAGTTTCAGAAAGTTCTGAACATTGTGGCTTGAGAATAGCCTAGCTAGCTAAGTGGTTCACACATTTGTGAGACTAGATTTGCTATTGATTGATATATCATTGAATGTATGGAAAACATTGTACGCCCTCCGTTCCAACTTACTTGAAGTTATGGCCAATTTTAACACGGTCCCTCTTATCTCCTGTTTTCACATGAGAGGTAAGAAGGTAAGAGTTTTGTCATGAATCAAACTTCATTAAGTTTGACTGAGTGTACAGAAACATATATTAACATCTACAACACCAAATTAGTTTCATTACATTCCACGCAATATATGTATTTGATGTTGTAATATTAGTACATCTTTATATATATTTGGTCAAACCTGAGGAAGTTAAACTTAATTCGGACAAAATTAGAACTTTAAGTATTTTCAGAATGAAGGTAGTATGTATTAAATAAACACATGATACAATTTTGTTTGGAAATTTTACCATCAAATGTGCATTATATTTCTTTGTATTCTCTTTCTTTTACCACCTTAGCTCTATTAAATTACGTTACATGTTCATGGTACATGGATGGAATATTCACCCTGGTCATAGCTTGTTCTTTTTACACCTTCATATTGGTTTGAATAGACCTATATTTTGATAGAATGGAAATAAAATTGAATAAACGAATTTATTTAATTTTAATTAATTTATGTTTCACATTTCAATCTTAGGTTCATATAAAATATAATTATTTACTTCTATTTTGAATGAATGGAAATAAAATTGAATAAATAAATTTAATTTAATTTATGACTAATTTCTATTCCATATTTCAGACTTAGATTCATATAGAAATATAATTATGTACTTCTATTTTGCTTAAATGAAATAAAATTGAATAAATAAGTTTTATCTAATTTATGTTTAACTTCTATTCCAGATTTCAGTATTAGGTTCATATAAAAATATAATTATATACTTCTATTTTGATTGAATGGACGTAAAATTGAATAATTAAATTTTATTTACTTTACGTTTAATTTCTATTCCACATTTTTGTCTTAGGTTCATATAAAAAATAATTATGCACTTCTATTTTGATTGAATGGAAATAAAATTGAATAAAAAATATTATGTAATTTTTGATTAATTGCTGTTCCAAATTTCACTCTCCTGTTCATAAAAACAATATAATTATGTACTTCTATTTTCATTTTATTACGCAGTTTAGCTACTTATGGATTTCATGTTAGAAATACCAAAATTCAATCATGTTTGACCTTCAATTGGAAATTTATAGATGGTTGTTGTCTCTTATTGGTTTCAAAACGTTTTTTTTACGGGAAGGTTTCAAAAATAGATTTAGATCTCTATAAAACTAATAAAGATGTATCAGTCGTAGATTTGTATGCAGAGCTGGATTTTTTTTACATAGTACAGACACAAACACTTCAGTTTGAGATTGACGAGTCACCAGAGGTGCCTCCATAGTCGTCGGGACGTTTCCTCTCACTTAATGAATATCACAGGATACCCAAAATAAATCCAGAAAAATGCGAGCACGAATGTCAAGTCTAGGACTTGAACCATGGTGGGCTTCTTCCACCACAAAAAAGCAAACCATCTAAGCAAGGCTAAGTTTGCAAGCTGGATTGTTGTATACCGTTAACAATTGGATTCACCATAAACGACATTGAGGTGAACGTCTTTCCGGTGTCTTTCATGTTATTCTGCTACTCCTCCTGTGCTTGAAAAGAAAGCGTAAAAATTTTGTCTGAAGTCAAATGATGCAAAGGTTGACCAGGTTTGTAGGAAAAATAATGAAGAACCACAAATATCAAATTAGGATCATTATATTAGGAATAAATATATTTTGATATTATATTTACTTAGTCTTGTAGTTGTTGATAGTTTTCTTAACAAAGTTGGTCAAACTATGCACAATTTTTTTTTGAGGGAACAAACTATGCACGGTTTGACTTGGACAAAATTTATAGGCATTGTTTACCGAAAAAGGCTTTCATCCCGCTTTACAAATAAAGCAAACCACCGAAGTACAATGTCCAACATCAGTGACAATACAAACACACCCACACACGCCGCACGCCGCACGCACGCAAAGTAGCACAACACATGGTTCGGTCGAAACCTGGGCATCGCAAAGTTTAGCAGGCCGAAGAATATCATGATTCGGCAAATGGACGAGAAAGAGGAGGAGGAGGAGGAGGCCAGGAGAAGAAGCCGGCGTTTCTCGTTGCCCTCGACAGTGATGACGCGGTGATGGCGAGGTTCGTGCGGGAGCATCCGGAGTATGTCTAGGCTGAGCGCTAGTTCTTTTGGAAGTGTGAGGCCCTGCGGAAGAAGAAGGCGGTGAAGGAGGACGAAGCCGGCCCCTCGTCGGTGATCGCCATCAAGTCTGACTCCTCGGGCTGGGATGACTCGGAGGAAGACCACGAGTGTGAAGACCCAACCAAAGGACGAGTATTGGGAGCAGTTGAACAACGACGATGAGTTGTTTTATGTTTGATGTAGTTCAAGTAGACTTGGAGTATGGGTAGCCTAGTGGGCTGAGACTGGAACCACTTAGCAGTAGCACTGGGTGGACAGCCAACGCTACTGCTATGGAGATACCTGTAGCGCGGGTTCATGACAAGTGCTGCTGCTATATTGCAGTAGCGCTGCCCCTCCACCCCACGCTACTGCTAAGGTTCTATCTATAAGGTTTCTCCTAGTAGTGCAGCGACATCCCGCACTAGCGTTGCATGCTCCTTCCCGTCAGCATACTCGACCTGTCAAACAACCGGCTTACCGGGAACCTAAAGCCAGGCAAGCGCCTCTTATCTAAAAAAAATAAGGTTAAGCTTTGACTAGGAAACAAAAAAGAGACAATGAGAGAATTTATTTGTACAGGGAGAGAAATAAAGAAGAGAATGTACAATGGGACCAGGAGGTGCACTTTCTCTTCAGAAGCTGCTTGCCTACGTCCACTTAGCCAAAGGATCCTCCTAACTAGTGAACGATTCTTCAGGATATGTGACACATGCAAACAATTTGATTGCATTTTTAGTTCTGGTGAAGTGGGGAGAGATGACATTTTCTTTAGAAGACATGCCAGTTCTTTCCGAGAAGGCAATTTTCATTCGAACACTATCGTTGTTTCATCCCGTTTTACAACTAAAGCTGCCAGCAAAGATCGTTCGTTTGTCACCCCCTCTCAGGGAACGTTCGTCGGGTACAATTAACAATTACCGTAGGGAAATGCATTCATGCGCGACGCATGTGAAGCTGGCGCGAGCAAATTAAGCACGGAGGTAGCCAAAATGCATTCATGCGTGACGGCCTCAATAAAAAGCCGTCGGCTTATTAGGTAATTTATGTAGTGGATGTTAGAGATGTATTTGGTAGTTATAGATAGATTAGAAAAGAATTCTTCTCATCTTATCTCTAGGAGCCTTTTTGCCCTCCAAGTCCTGTGTCTCTATATATACTCACTCTCGAGGCTCAATAATACACACACTACATTATGTCAATTATCTCATCTCTAATCCTCTAACGGTCTTGTGTTAACTTCCTTGTGGAAGCACACGCAGCATGGTCTGACCTCGCTCGGAGAAAGAAAATTTGATTCTCGCGATGCACGACTGATCAGGAGGGTGTTCGGAGTATTCCCTAGAACCATTACACTCAACTATACAGGGCTTTGTTCTTCTGTACCGTTAACACTTGGATGCACCATAAGACGGCAAGCAATTTTAAATTGGTTTATTATGAACTATACAGAATTGTGTTGTCACTCAAAAAAAAAAACTTGGATTCAGCATGAACGAGCCGGCCGGATCGGAGCCCAGCATCTTACAGGCTGTCTTTGACGTAATTTCATACCTACCTCGTAAGGTGATATACACTACTTCTAACAACCGTTATGTTATGTTCAATTAACGGTCCATATCAGTTTAGGTGCACCTTAAAATCATCAGTTGGATACTGTTCGAGTAGATATGGACAACATCGAAATGTGGTTAAATAGTTCTGTAACCATATTTTATATTTCCTTTCGTATCAAACTACCCTTTAAGTTTGTTTGAGACTAGGTTGTTAAAGAAGTTGAGCACAACGTACTTAGTCTCAGACTAGGCTTTCTAAACATTCATTTGATTGGACATTATTGGACCCGGTGTATGTGTGTGCGTTGCTTGATTGGGGCTCTTCGCCGGCGCTATTCGTCACGGTGTCTGCCGGCCGGCGGTATGCACACAGATGACGAGGGCCAGGGCACTGCTGTAAATAACTCGGGTACGGTGCAGACCACATGGAGTATGATTTTCTGCCGCACGAAACGGACGCGCTCGGCATTTGCCGCCGGCCGATCCATCCATATATATGTGTGTGCGTGATCTTCTGCGGGCAGGGTCGCGAACATGAGGAGACCAACCCAAGCGCATCTCGCCGGCACTGCCGCGCTCTTCCTGCTACTGGCAGCCACCATGCCGGCGACGGCAGTTGCCGTGGTGTCTTCCGAGGCCGATGCCCTTCTAGCATGGAAGGCCAGCCTCGTCAACGCGACCGCGCTATCTAACTGGACCCAGGCCACGCCGGTCTGTGACTGGGATCGGGTGCACTGCAACAATGAAAGCGCCGTGGTGGAACTAAGACTAAATGTACTCGGTCTATCAGGCGGGCTCGATACGCTCGACACAGTGGCGTTCCCGGCGCTCGCCTATCTGGACCTTAGCATCAACCACCTTGGCGGCGCCATCCCGGCCAGCATCTCGCGGCTGCGCTCCCTCAAATCACTCGACCTCAGCTATAATGGCTTCAATGGCTCCATCCCGCCGCAATTTGGTGACATGCCAAGCCTCGGCGACCTCATTCTCAACAGCAACAGGCTCGTCGGCAATATCCCGCGGCAGCTCTGCAGGCTCATCTCCACACGGATACTGCGAATCTCTGAAAACCAGCTCAGCGGAGAGCTTCCCAACTGCTGGTGCAACCTCCGGTCTCTGGAGGTCATGGACCTGTCAAGCAACAGGCTCATCGGGAAGCTTCCGGATTGCTGGTGGAACCTGGAGGCTCTACAGCAGATGCACCTGGCCAATAACTCCTTCTCAGGTGAATTCCCGGCAGCTACTGTAAGCCACAACTGCTCTCTCATCACATTAGATCTCTCCCGAAATGTTTTTGTTGGAGCTTTCCCACTATTGGATGGTTGCCACTCGCTGGTCGGCCTCGACATCAGCAGCAATAGGTTCAGCGGCTCCATTCGGCCGCAGCTCGGTGACATGCTCGGTCTCTTCATCGTCCGGCTCTACAATAACAGCCTCGTTGGTAACGTCCCACACCAGCTCTGCAGGCTCCTCCTCATTGGCAATCTAGATTTGTCCGACAATCTGCTTGCCGGGGAGCTCCCGGACTGTTGGTGCAACCTCAAATATCTGGTGTTCATGGATCTATCTAATAACCGGCTCACGGGGAAGCTCCCGAACTGCTGGTGGAACCTGAAGGCTCTGAGTTTCATGGATCTATCCAACAACTCCTTCTCAGGTAAAATTCCCGCGGCTGTGGCAAGCTACAACTGCTCTCTTAGGTCACTTTATCTCGCCGGAAATGGCTTTGTTGGTGCTTTCCCGCCGGTCCTAGAGGGTTGCAACTCCCTGACCACTCTGGATCTAGGGAATAACATGTTCTTTGGTGTTATCCCTCCATGGATTGGGAGTCAGGTTCCAATGCTTAGAATCCTTAGTCTCAGATCAAACAACTTCACTGGAGAAATTCCTCGAGGTTTATCACAGCTTTCACAACTTCAGTTGCTCGACATGTCCAACAATAGCTTGACTGGCTCAATTCCTATAGGCTTCGGCAACTTGACCTCCATGAGGCACCCAAAAAATGTTTCAGCAATAGATAAATTGTTGTGGGGTAAATATGATGACAGACTTGGTATAATCTGGAAGGGTCGGGATCAGACTTTCAGAGGCACAATCCGATTATTAGCCGGTATTGATTTATCAGACAATTTTCTATCACAATGCATCCCCGAAGAGTTAACCAATCTTCAGGGCCTTCGGTTCCTAAACCTTTCAAGAAACCATATGTCGTGCCGCATTCCCCAGGACATTGGTAGCCTCTCTTTTCTTGAGATCCTTGATCTATCATCTAATCAACTTTTTGGAAACATTCCTCAAAGCATCACACAATTATCAGGGCTCAACACGTTAAATGTCTCGAACAATCTTTTGTCGGGCAAGATACCCACCGGAAATCAGATTCAGACGCTGACTGACCCATCAATTTACTCCAACAATTCTGGGCTTTGTGGATTTCCTCTAAACATTTCGTGTGCCACTACTTCGCTTGCACCGGATGAGAGAAATGGTGAAGAGGAGGACCACTGGATGTACTACTGTGTGATTGCTGGGATTGTGTCTGGTCTCTGGTTGTGGTTTGGGATGCTCTTTACAATTAAGTCGTGGAGATGTGGTTTTCTTTCCTTTGTTGATGGCATGCAATGTAAAATTATGAAAAAGTTGTGACATTAGCGGTGTTATCTGCAATGCTGTACCTCTTTCATTTTTGTTGGCGAATGTACAATGTTATACCAATGTAATAGCATCGAATCGTTTGGTAAATTTGGTCGCAATGCATGTCACTCACATTTTTCTTCTCAAATTGATTTGATTACGTTCTTGCCTGTACAATGCATCTCACTCACATTTTTCTTCTCTGGCTCTACTTGACTATTCTGTCAATCTCTTCTACGACGTATTCGATTCATCTCACGTTCACCTGAAGGGGCTGGCTGTCGTCGTCGGCTCCGTGAACGTCTCCAGCCGCGGCTCCGTCAGGTCCACCTCCTCCTGCTCCGCCGACCGCCAGCTCCGCCCCATCGTCGTCATCTTCGTCACTGGCATCCCGACGTTAACCATGACCTCTCCGGACAAGACGGCGCCCTTGGCATTGCTGCCGTTCCCTCCGTGCAGGTGATCGCGGCGATGGCCGTAGTCGTCGTCGTCCTGCCACACTGAGCATTCCCGCGGCCTCTCGGCGTGGATGCCCGGGGCGAAGGCGCCGGCGGCGGCGGGCAGGTGGTGGCGACGGCGCTTGTCGGCGAGGGGCGCGATGGTGGAGAGGATCTGGACGACTTCGGTCATGGTGGGCCTGGCCTCGGGGTCCCACTGCAGGCACTCCCTGGCCAGGTGGGCCATGATCTGCATCTCCTCGGGCGGGAACGCGCCCTTCAGCGCCGGGTCCGGCAGCTCCGCGACCACCAGCCTGCTGTCCCGCAGACGCGACGTCGCCCACATCACCAAGCTCTCGTCCGTGCCCGCGCCGCTGGCGCCGGCGCCGCCCCTCTTGTGCACCGGCTGCCGGCCCGTGATGAGCTCCAGCACCACCACGCCGAAGCTGAACACGTCCGACTTGAGCGACGCCTTGCCGACGATGGCGTACTCGGGCGCGAAGTACCCGAAGGTGCCCAGCATGCGCGCCGGCGAGCTGGAGCAGCTGGTCACGCCATCGTTCATGAGGCACTTGGCCATGCCCAGGTCCGTGATCCTGGCCCTGAACCTGTCGTCGAGCAGGATGTTGGTGGACTTGATGTCGCGGTGGAGGATGCGTGGCGCCGCCGCCTCGTGGAGGTACTCGAGGCCCCTCGCCGCACCCAGCGCCACGCCGACGCGCGTCGCCCAGTCCATGGGCTTCCTGTTGAGGTCGTCCAGGCACTCCCTCAGGTTGCCGTTGGTCATGCACTCGAACACCAGCAGACGCTCCAGCTGCCGCCCCTGCCGCTCCGAGCAGTACCCCAGCAATGGCACCACGTGGCAGTGGTTCAGCCGCGACAGCAGCTCTATCTGTTCGTTCATGGAGGAAGAAGATTCAGATGCCAATCAATGGTCATGGATTATGGATGTTCTCTTTTTCAGAGTTCACACTTTTTTGAAAAAAGTTTGTAGTTCAGACTTAATAACAGAGTAAAACAGAGCATCAGAACATGATTTGCAATACCTCTGACAGGAACTCATAGTCTTCGTCCGCACCGCCGAGGGGCCGAAGCTTCTTCACGGCGACGACTTTGCCATCAGTGAGCTGGCCACGATACACCTTGCTCGTCCCACCGACGCCGATGAGCTGTTCGTCGGAGAATTTTCCGGTTGCCTGGTCCAACTCCGCGTAGGAGAATCGGAGAACCACGCCAGGGAATGGGCCGTCTTCGCTCCGGGAGACGAGCGGACAGCTGCACAAAAACCCTGCGCCGTGACAGAAAAATCAGAGTTGAAACAAGAACCAAGACTGACCTCCTGAATAGAGAACTCTGAAGAAATTCGGACAAATAACACAGAAATGTTTTGCCTTGCCTTTGATGACACTGAGCCCGGGTTTGGGTTTCAGTTGGGTAAGGGGAGAAGATCGGTGGCTAACGAGGTTCGATCTGCTATTCCAGCTGGCGTACTTGTCAAAAGAGTGCATCCTGGAACGCGGAGAGAGCGCGTCCTTGCGGCGGAAGTAGTACGCCGTGGTGCCGACAAAAGCAACAGTGGTGAGAACCACACATACCAGGAGTGTTGCAATGACTGTTTTGCTAGAGAAATGCTTCCTCCCTTGTTCAGAATTTCCTGGAGTTAAAACAGGCAGAATTCAGGTTATCATCAGTAACCACAAAATAGATTCCCTCCAAATTGATGGATATGTCTGAATCAATAGAGAAGAATTTCATATACCAGATGTGCAGTTACAGGAAGTGAAGCAACTCGTGCTGTGCACCACACCATCTTCTTCTTCCTGAAGGGCCTTATCGGAGCGGCACGAGCAGTTCCATGACCCTGTGCCGCCGTTTTCATCTGCAACGACAAAGACCCAAAGTTCAGGTATCTTCGTGGCACGACTTGTTTAACTGCTGATAAGCACTAATTGTGATTAATTTCTCACACCTCGTAGGCAATGGCACGAGGAGTCGCAACTGGATGACAGGCTGCTGTTGGAGTTTGGTTCACCAAGCGGATGAGCAGCACATACACATGTCCAGCTTGTGGCTCCAGTCCCCCCTGCGGTGTTATCTGTATGTTCTATGAGAGGACCAGATGATAAATCACCTATATTTGAGCACATTTCATACAGGGCACTATCGTAATCTAGGTGTTTAGCACATTCTAGAAGAATACTGTTGCTCATGAATTCGCAGTGCTTACCACAGAATGCTCCTTGTATCAGAAGTACACAGCTGAGGGAGGCCACGAGAAGCTTCATGTGGATATCCATCATCGGCTAGTTTGCAGGTAGGGAGTGGGGACTGGGGAGGAATATCAAACAGACCCCATCCAGTTCAATCTCTGAAGAAAAGATGGCAAATAATAACGGATGTTTGAAATCATGGCTTATTGACCAAAATGGGAGAAAAGAACATCAACTTGATACATGAATAGCACTATGAACAAGTAGACTTTACACTTTTGATATTGTTAATAAAGAGTGCATGGTGGACTATCTATCAAATTATGCGACTATTTATATCGAGGGGAACAGATTTAAAACAAAGAAACAAGTGCAGTTCATCATTAGCAAGCACAAAATCCTATTAGATGTCGAGTCATCGTTAACAAGTTAAAACTTGAAGGAGATTGAGTGACTCTGAAATTTATACTTACAGCTATCTATCTTAGTGCTAAACAGATCTATGAAGCTTGCCAAACATACGGCAGTGACAAGATCTCTCTGGTAGTTCAAAGGCAGAAATCAACCGAAACGGTAATGAACCGGCCTAACTTATGAATTGCAACTAAAGAGAGGTGGAGTTCTAAGTTATGATTAACAAAGGGGTCAGCTTATATGAAGGCAAGAGAATCCGAGCAACGAAGGGACAGAAAGCTATCAACTTCAACGACAAGAAAAGTCTTGTAAATGCACTGCACATCCATCATTGTGATAATAAACTCAATTCAGGACCAGCACCCTGCAAGACAGGGGACATCTCAACCCACAGCACTACACACTAGGAAAGATAAGTAAAATAGGTCTACGGCTAGGACACCTAGAACAGCAGCCATCTGTTTCCAACTACAAAGAGACTGGATTGCATGTGCTAATTGGGTGTGATGTTGGATGGAGACTGTGGACTGAAAGTTGAGAGGGCAACAACTGACATGAGAGCCGCAGATGTTACGGATGCTTGGCTTGGCGGTGGTCAGAGATCTCAGGCTTGGCAAGGCTTCAAAAACCCGCCATGTGCAAGAAGATAGCACCAAACTGCGAACTGATGCAAAAAGAGCATGGCCAGGTTGCAACTGGTCTTTGCTGCTAGAACACGACGTTCTTAAGCATTCGCCGTGAAAAGGCAAAAACCAGAACCTTCGTTTGCAGGAACTTGGGCACAACCACAACAGGACAGGTTCTGCAAAGATGGTGCCATCAGTAGCTTAACACCGCAAGCCTCAGATCAATAACGAGCAGCACTAAGATCATCATCATCAACAACATCATCATCATCATTCTGCGACACCTCATCTCCCGCTCTCTTTTGTTTAATCAAACGCGGCTTTAGCCACTGGATTCTGTCGGCAAAGGACGGCGCGGCGGCTTCTTGAGGAGACGACCAAACTTTCTTTCTTTCATTTCTGATGGCTACACCTCACCTCGAGCTGCATGCGCATGGACGTGCCATCTGCAACCACCGCTGCTCAAACTATTCCAACCATCCATGTAGGTGGTGGTGGGCAGGCAGCAGCAGCTTCCCCTTTGCATCTCTGAATTCCCTTTTCGGCGACGCTGAACCGGTTGGTTGGTTGCGAGGCACACGTCGTATCTAGATTCTACTCACATGCATTATACATTTGTTATACAACAACACTATTAGCAAGTTGTGTCAATGGTTGAAGTCACTCGACATTCTCTTGGAGAAGAAAAAAGGAAATGTGTAATATCAATCAACTGTCAACACCTGGGGCCTGTTCCTGGGATCCCACATGAGCAGCTGCCAATCTCCTCTGCACCGACGACGCCGTGAACGGGAAAACAAAATGGAAAAACCATTTGATTGATTGACGGCCAAGCTCGGTAGGCCAGCCAAGATGGTGAGGAATGATGAAAAGGAAAGAAAAGGGGCGGCCTGATGCTGACACTGATAGATGGATGCTAGTAGTAGTACATGTAAACGTGGTTCATCATTGGGTTTGGTCCCAGGTCAGGGGCAAACACAATCTCCAGAAAAGCCAAGGGAGGGCATAATAATCCCGGTCGCCGGGATTTTGAGACTCATTGGTTGCAAACAAACGCAACGCATCTCGCTTTCGTTCGTTGGTTGGTTTTTCCCTCTTTATGCAACCACTGCCATTAAAGTAATGGTGGTGATGGGTGGAGTGAGGAGGGTGGCCTGGGATGAGCATAGTCATAGTAGGACAGTATTAAACTAGTGGCCTTACTACTGACAGGGGGTGATACTAATACTAATACTACTAGTACCTGCTGTCAGTAAGACAGCATCCGAGGTGGTAAAGGTGAAACCAGAGGAAGATTTCAAGTCCCATTGTTGTGGATCCTGGTGGCGTGGATGAATTCCATCCTCCCCAACCACTGCCAGAGGAAGATTCGATCCATCTTGCTAGAGACAATGCTATGGATCTTGGTGGCGTGGCAAAAGAAGAGAAATGTGGGCAGAGCACGTTGGAGGGAGTAAATTACCGCTCCCCAGGCGAGGCAGCTAGGAATTGAAGACCGGGGACGAAGGAGAAAAAGCTGCTACCGTCCTCCAAGGGAGAAAACAAGTGTGCTCCGTGACCAGGACCAGCAGGTGGACTAAAGGAATCATTCTGCGATCTTGCAGAGCAGCAGATGGAGGAGGCGGCCAAGGTAGACAGTACAGCGAGATGGCATCTTCCCGGCATGCCGGTAATGTGAACCAGAACCTGAGCCTGAACTGAAGTGAGCCCGGCTGTAGAATGTAGCCGTCCGATTTTTTTGAAATCTAGTGAAGGCGAGTGAAGGGAGAGGAGCAATCTCGTTCCCATTCCCGTCGAAACGGGAAGCACGCTGGTGCTCGTGGATGAATTCGAAGCTGTTCATATCACGCTGGTGACCGGCGGCGAAGGCTTGCGGAGCAGAGGAAGAAGCAGACAGAAGGCGACACAAGAGAAGAGAGGAGGGCTCTGGGCGAGTCGAGGTTTCAGGAAGAAATCCGCGCGTAGGTGGGGGGAGGAAGCAGGCAAGGCAATGCGATGCGATGCGATAGGATAAAAGACGAGGGCAGTGAGCGTCGCAGTCGGCGCCAAGGAATGACGAGGAGCGGAGAAGGGAAGGTGGGTACCTCAGTCCTCGTCCTCGCCCGCTGTTGAGCTTCATCCATGGAGCTCCACCGTGTCCGCTGCCGTCTCCATCGCCGCCTGTCCGCCCGCGTGCGTGCCTGGGAAGGGATGGGGCGTGGGTCTGGGGAGCGTTTCTGTTTGTCTGATTGCGCTCGCTCGAGTTGAATGCGCTCTAGGTATACCCGTTGGGCAGGCCAGTAGAGAGTAGAGCAGGGAGGGGCAGGATGAGGTGAGAGATGCGGCCGACTCCACTCCTCCACCTCTATCTCTTGGGCCGCCCCCAAATTCAATCCAATCCTCCCTCCCCCACAACCAATCATGCCAGTCACGCGCTCCCGGATTCATGCCCCGCCGCGTACGCACGCACGCACGTCCCACCAACACGCACCGCACCGCACCGCTTGCAGTTCCACGGCCCACACCGTCGGCAAAATTTCATGTTTTGACCATTTTCTAAAACCTATTTAAGATTTGACTCTAATTTTAAAAAAATTCAAGATTTGACATTTTTGCTACCACCAGAGTCTATGGCGGTCTACCGTCAAGGACTTTGGCGGTAGGAAACATCGCTACTGCCAACTGGTCTGGCGGTAGCCTGCACATCCCTACCGCCAAGGTCTTTGGCGATAGGCTGTTATCCCCGACCGCCATGATCCCTGGCGGTAGCAAAAGGGTCAGATCTCAAAAAAAAAAATCAAACTAGGGTCAAATCTCGAATAGGTTTCAGAAAAGGGTCAAAACACGAAATTTAGCCACACCGTCCACCCTTCTTCCACAAAATACATAAATTAACCAAACAAGAAGAAAATGGCAGTAAAACACACCACCAAGTACAACACCGATAAAGACTTTGTCGTTGATTCACCGAGTATAAGTCCAGCTTTTTTCTAAAAAAATAAATAAATAATGCCGCACTAGTAGTTAATATCAATTCTCTCTAGACCCAGATCGGGTTCCTCCCCTCCCCTAGGCATACATGTCCATGTGCACTACAGTTGACTTACCGCGCCATACCTCGGCATGTCTACACAGCACACACATTTTCTGCCTCTCACAGCAGGCTGGTTATTCCCACCAGATCGGATCCAAGGCAAGGCAGCTCAGCCACCTCACCTAGCCCCATTTCCCAGCGGAGACCAAATCCTTGCGCCAACCTAAAAATGTACTCCCTCCGTCCCAAAATTCTTGTCTTAAATTTGTCTAAATACAAATGTATTCTTGTCTTAGATTTGTCTAAATACAAATGTATCAAGTCACGCTTTAGTATTAGATACATCCGTATCTAGACAAATCTAAGACAAGAATATTGAGACGGAGGAATACTCCACTTACTTATATTCAGACTGTCAGAGATCACAAGGCCTAACCAAGGGCCAAAGCAGGCAGGCAGTCAGTCACACAGTCAGATTCGCACAGAACACGCAAAGGGTTAATTGGGCATTCGCTGAAACAACCGGCACTTCTATAAACAACTTACTGGAGTTAGTTCAAAAATTGCTACCACATCAACAGGGGCGTTCCTCTGGCCACGCATCTCTCGGCTATACAAGGATGCTATTCGCTGCTAAGGGCTCTACACCGGCTTCTAAGTGGACGACTCAAGACAACAACAGCAGAAGAGTGAAGCAACCGATGGCCTACAACACATCGCGCCGACTAGGATTCGTCGTCGGACAGGCACACCACCTCCGCGCTGGGCCCTGCTGCGTTGCTGGGGCCGACGCTGTCAGGCTCCACGCCGAACCTGGCCGGCATGTACGGGTTGCTGTTCGGCGGCGGTGACGGTTCCAGGCCTGGATGGTTGAGGACGACAGGTAGCTGAGCGCCGCCGGCGTGCTGCTGGCTTCCTGGCGCCGCCGGACCTGCTGAGGTGCTGCTGCTGCTGCCGCCCAAGGCCATGTTCAGATACGATGCCTGCTGCTGGACCTGGGCAAACGTGAGAGCGGGGTTCGGCGTCCAGACGGGGTCTAGATGCCGGCCAGGTGGCAAAAGGTATGACGGGGTAGCCGGGCTTGAGCCTGACGCTGACGGCAGCACTGGCTGGTGAGCCGAGCCTGCTGGAGTCATGGAGGCTAGCACGGCGCCTGGCTGCGGAAACGGAAACGTCGGCCTTAGGCTCTCCGTGGCAAACTGCCCACCCGCTGGAACCCCTATGATGGTAGGAAGCTGCTGCTGCTGGTGGTGGTCTGTGGGGATGACATATGGCGGGCGCATCCTGAGGTGCTGCAGATGAGGAGAGGGCGCACGCAGCTGCTGTGCTGCTGCTCCAGCGGGCCCGTAGCTGCCCTGTGGCCGAGGTGTCGGAATAGCAGGTGGCATTGTTCTGTAGAGAATGCTGGGTGGAACTGATTGTGGCTGGACAGGGCGCAGCTGTGGTCCAGCAGGTCCGTGGCTTGCATGTAGCGAAGGCGCTGGAACAAAAGGCGGTGATATTGCACCAGAGAGATTGCCAGGCATGGCTGACGATGATGTTGCTCCAGAGAGATTGCCAGGCATGGCTGACGATGATATTGCTCCAGAGAGATTGCCAGGCATGGCTGACGATGATATTGCTCCAGAGAGATTGCCAGGCATGGCTGACTGTGACTGGACGGTCCGTGATGAGGATGGTAGAGCCACCGGCGGAGGGCGGACGGAGGGTTCTGCTGAACTGTGCGCTGCCACTCCGGGGGATGGTGATGGGATAACCGACGGCGATGCTGCGATCCGAGCCGCTGAAGAAGAAGACTCGGGTAGCTGCTCCATTACAGGGTTCATCAATCTCCCTGAAACGCACAAGGAGAAAACTAACCATTACTCGCACGATCAAACGATTAAGGAGCATCTGAGTAAGCAGCAGATCATGGATTTAAATTGTGCTTTGGCTTTTCAAATCAATGTAATGCAACCATCTAGCGTGGGATTCTGACAAACAACAAGAAAATGACACTCCTCACAGATCACACATGTAAAGGTTTCACCATGCAGAAACAGCCAAATATACACAAGGTGCTGGTAAATGAATCATGCAAGGACACCATGCTCCATCTTATATGTTTTTTTTAACACTTTTGCTCTTTTTTTTTAACACTGCTCCATCTTATATGTTGATCAAAAGAAAAAGAAGCGTTTCGAAAGATGTGTATTAAACAGAAATATCACAGCGAGCAGAGCTAAAATGCTGAAAGACTAGCTATGACCAGATCATTGTTTTGGAAAACAAACAAGATACTCTAGCAACAGTTAGGTGGATACCATGAGATGCAACAGATGGTGTGAACTGGCGTCGGAAATTCTCAGCTAGTGATTTGCTCACGTAAACTTTCTGGTAGATACCATTCAACTGAGTCCGCTTCAGACGATGAGCGGAATCTTCTTGTTGAAGTAACGAGTCATACTTCCTGTTTATCTTCTCTATTTCTTGGTTGCGCTCTGCCTGAAGTTGTGATCTCTGTTGACAAATAGATGTGCAGCCAAGAAAGACATGAAAAAAACTCACGACTAGCACATGCAATTTACAGTAAAACAGATAATAGACAAACAAAACAGAAAAACAAACCTTATCGTCATGGCCTTTATCAAGCAAAGTGCTCCAATGAATTATTTTTTCCAACTCATTTCTCAGCGGTTCATCACTAATGATTGGATTATTAAACGCTAATGGCGTGACTGGAGGGATTTGGGTAGGCTGCTCAGGACCGGTAGGGATATGCTGAACTGTGGTTGATAATTGCCGTTCAGGCTGCAAATCCTGGGCTGCCGTACTGCCTACCATACCTGCTCCTTCTGCTCCTGCAGGTCGATCACGCATTGAGGCTGATGGCTGTATTTCAGACTGCAGATCATGCTCAGGACTGGCTGCTGTGTTTGGTTCAAAACCAGCTTGTCTCCTTTCTTCAGAGCGTGTTCTTTCAAGTGGGTCATGCTGAACTGTGGTTGCTGTTTGCAGTTCAGGCTGCAAATCCTGGGCTACTGTCGTGCCTAGAACACATGCTCCTTCTGCTGCCACAGGTTGATCCTGCATCAAGGCTGATGGTTGTATTTCCGATTGCATATCAGGAGCTGTCACCACACCCAACGTATCTGTTGATTCTCCTCTGCCATGTGAATCCAATGAGGTTGATGGTTGCACTTCAGGCTGCGAACCTCGAGCAGCAGTGGCGCCCAAGATACATGCTCCTTCTTCTGCAGGTTGATCCTGCATTGAGGTTGACAGTCGGGCTTCAGGCTGCAAATCGCAAGCTACCTCTGTGGCCAGAATACCTGCTGGTTCTGCTTCTGCTGGTGGATGACGCAATGTTGCTAAGCTTTGTTGGGCAGGCAGACTGGTACTCTGTTCCACAGGCATTGAGGCTGGTGGTTGTATAGCATGAGGTGTCACAGTGCCGGATAACTCTACTCCTGCATGTGGATCCAGTGAAGGTACTACACTTTGATGGACAGACGGACTCTGCAGACCAGACACAAAGGGAACGCCCCGCATTGAGGTTGATGATGATTGCATTTCAAGCGGCAAAACCTGAGCTGATATGGCACCCAAGGTACCTGCTCGCTCTGCCTCTGCTGGCTGATCCTGCATTGCTGCCTCGGGACCCGCGATACATGCTCGTTTTTCTGCAGGTTGATCTTGCATTGAGGTTGACTGTTGCACTTCAGGCTGCAAATCGCAAGATTTGTTCAGGAGACATACTTGATAGATACTTGATTGGCAAGTTGCTAAACTTTGTTGGGCGGGTACACTTACACTTTGTTCCACATGCATACTTGATTGGCAAGTCTGAGTTTCAAATTCAGTAGACACTGGTAGGGTAGCTGGGCTAACTGGTGACGCCAAGTGGACTTGATCTGTATCAACAGTGTCATCGTTGTTTGCATTAAATCCCCTAACAAGAGAATCTGCAGGTTGATCCTGCATTGAGGTTGACAGTTGGACTTCAGGCTGCAAATCACAAGCTGCCTCTGTGGCCAGAATACCAGCTGGTTCTGCTTCTGCTGGTGGATGACGCAATGTTGCTAAGCATTGTTGGGCAGGCAGACTCGTACTCTGTTCCGCAGGCATTGAGGCTGGTGGTTGTATAGCATGAGGTGTCACCGTGCCCGGTAACTCTACTCCTGCATGTGGTTCCAGTGAAGGTACTACACTTTGATGGACAGACGAACTTTGCAGACCAGACACAAAAGGAACGCCCCGCGTTGAGGTTGATGATGATTGCATTTCAGACGGCAAAACCTGAGCTGATATGGCACCCAAGGTACCTGCTCGCTCAGCCTCTGCTGACTGATCCTGCATTGCTGCCTCAGGACCCACAATACATGCTCGTTTTTCTGCAGGTTGATCTTTCATTGAGGTTGACTGTTGCGCTTCAGGCTGCAAATCACAAGATTTGTTCAGGAGACATACTTGATAGATACTTGGTTGGCAAGTTGCTAAACTTTGTTGGGTGGGTACACTTACACTTTGTTCCACATGCATACTTGATTGGCAAGTCTGAGTTTCAAATTCAGTAGACACTGGTAAGGTAGCTGGACTAACTGGTGACTCCAAGTGGACTTGATCTGTATCAACAGTGTCATCGGTGTTTGCATTAAATCCCCTAACAAGAGAATCTGCTCCTTCCAGCAACATACCTGGATTAGCAATATTTTCTGCCTCAACATGTCCAGTATTTCTACAGTCACCAATTGAAGATTCCTGATGTAAAATTAAAGGTGTTTGTGATCAGTTGTCTACCATCACTAAACTATATGCAATGACAATGAACACATAATCAAGTATGATGATACGCGGAATCACGAAAAGCAAAGCAGTACACACTGGAATGACTGGAATGACCACTATGTGCCAAGTTTTGGAATGTGCAAAATAAATATTATTTGTGTCAACTGGCGTAACTTTGAAAGTGCTTTTCAACAAGCGAACGACATAAATGCTCAACAACAACAACAACGAAGCCTTTAGTCCCAAACAAGTTGGGGTAGGCTAGAGGTGAAACCCATCAGATCTCGTGACCAACTCATGACATAAATGCTCAAACGAATATAATCAACAACATATGTAACTCTCGATGCCTACGGCACAATAGGCAATCCAGGCTGGAAAAATGATGATTGACTGCATACACAATCTGGACAACCCAAATACATTGTGGCGCATATTCATTTCTTTTTGGGTCTATACATGCCATCATTCCACACACATGGCACACTATCACCAAGGTGGGGACTATGGCATGGTGCAAGAGGCAGAAACTTATGGTGGCGAAGCAGGATTTTGAGGTGTTGTTAACTTACCATTTAGTTTATTTTCCATCTTATATCTAGCCATGTTTGTTAGTAAGGTTTTCGAGTCGAAGAGTCGACGAGTCGTTCTGGGGTAGCGACTCATGACGAGTCAAGCCTGGCCGGTCGACGAGTCGTGACTAGTCTCGACTAGTTGAGGGGTTTGAGTCAACCCTGGCAGTGCGACTCGTTGACTAGTCGACGACTACTCGCGATTAGTCGCGTCGCGTGACTCAAAAACAGTGTTTGTTAGGCACACCCCTGTCTTAAGAGGATGGGGAGGTTACTTTCCAATTCCTTATTTAACACTATCTTAAATTTTGTTTCCTTATTTGACACTGAAAAACTTTTTCTTCCCTATCTAACAACGAGTTTAAATTTTATGCCTTTTATGACACTTCCGTCCATTTTGAGCCTAAATAGCACTTGAAAAGACCCTTTTGCCCCTCATGTGATATGTGTGTGTGCAGGGCAGTAGCACACACACGCAGCATCAGTGCGAGGGCAGTAGCACACACGTAGCAGCACATACACACGCACACGCACACACACAGCAGCACACAGGCAGCAACACACACGCAACAGCAGCAGCAGCACACACAGCAGCACGGACGCACGCAGTGTTGGCGCTGCCTCTTGCAGCACCTCTGCTTCTTCCTCCGTTGCCTCATACAACTCTTTCTTTTGCTTTCTCTCTCAACACATATGACTAGGGAACACACCCACACACACACTAGCACCAAGGAAGAGGAACAATGGCTTTGCCAAGAGGTCAGCTCCTTGGTTCACACGAGAAACGATCCAGCACTCTCGCCCACTATGTGTCAATATGCAACATATATACAAGGGTTGGACTCTGGCACTCTCGCCCACTAACCCATAACCTGGCAACTAACTAATCCCTATCTACATGCATGCCCAAGTCTAGCACTTACCAGCATCCATAACTTTTTTTTCCCCATAATGGCCACATAATCTGGCCTGCATGCAATGCGTACAAATGTGGTCAAGCACTAACAGACTAACTAACTCACCTTATCTCTAGTGCTCAACGTGACATGCAACACACCCATGATCCACACTTGCACAGTATAACATATGACAAGATTAATCCTAACACGCAGCACACAGGCACGCAACAGCATGCCGGGCGCACACACACACACATACACACACAATAGCAAACCCACACGCAGCAGCACACACGCACATCCGCGGCAGTAGCACACACGTACGCGCACGCACACACGCAATAGCACACACACGCACACAAACATACCACATGAGGGCAAAAGGGTCTTTTCATGTATCATTTAGGCTTAAAATGAACAGAAGTGTTATAAAAGGCATAAAATTTAGACTCCTGTTAAATAGGGAAGAAATTATTTGTCGATGTCAAATAGGGCATAAAATTTAGACACGGTGTTAAATAAGGAATTCTCTCGTTATGTATAGATTTCCCATTCTTGCGCCTACCCTCCCAGCTGCCCTAGTTTTCCTGTCTGCCACTTTGCTTTTCAGCTGCACTTACCTATCTATCTCCACCAAGACACCACCAGGCCACAAACCTTCAAGCATGCGGCCTCGTAGAACTACCTGTTGTGTTCCATTCACAAGGAACACAACTGCAAACTAATAGACCAACTCGTCTCACTCACAATTAGGATGGGGGAACTGTAGCAAAGTAGCTTATTTCTGGTTATCTGCTAATCTTCTACTCCCTCCGTTCTGAAATATAAGTCTTTTTAGACATTACAAATGGACTACAACATACGGATGTATGTAGACATATTTTAGAGTGTAGGTTCACTCATTTTGCTCCGTATGTAGTCACCTATTGAAATCTCTAGAAAGACTAATATTTAGGAACGGAGGGAGTATATGTGACATCATTTGACTAGCTGCAAGATATAGCTCCAGGCAGTTGCAGTTCTATGTGCAGCCTATGGAGAGTCAGTTGACCCCACAGGTTTGTGTAATCACTCTAATTTCGTTCTTGATATTGCATCAAAACATCATAATTCAGAAAATTTATGGCTCTAGCACCGCCACTGGCTTGAGGTTAACTCTTGCAAGAAGTCAGGATTAAAGCACAAGCAAGTTGTATCAGCACACAATCGTCAACAACAAAAACAAAAACAAAAACAACAACAACTACAAAGCCTTTAGTCCCAAACAGGTTGGGATGGACTAGAGGTGAAACCCATAAGATCTCGCAATCAACTCATGGTTCTGGCACATGGATAGCAAGCTTCCACGCACCCCTGTCCATGGCTAGTTCTCTGGTGTTACTCCAGTCCTTCAGAATAAATGCATTCTGGAAAGTGAAAATTATACCTGACCAACTGAATCATCATTTGCAGGAATAGTACTTGATGAACAACCAGCTCTTTGTACACCCATGCCATCAGAACTAAGGATGCAGTTTCCTGGAAAATCAACAGCTTCTGATGCTGGTCCTTCACCTGAGTTCACGGAAGTTGCAACTGGCTCATTTTCCATTGCCTGTGTAGATATGGCCCCTGACAGAACTTCATTTCGTACTAATGCAATTTCCATTAACAATCCATCATCTAATGGCTGCTGGTTATCTGGCACAGAACTTTCAACAATATGATACTCACCACTCTGCTCCTTAAAATGGATGAATTCTTCCATAACAAAGTTTGAATCTGGTAGAGCAATATGCCGATCAAAGTCTTGATCTAATTGGCCTGATTTTGCTACCTGCTGGAGATTCTTCTTCAGATGTCGCTCTACGAGCCACCTATCAAATTGCACTGCCTCGAGTTTGTTATGCTGGAGCCTCATGTGGTCCAAAAATGCACACATAAGCATAGTGAACCACTGAACAGTTAGCTGTATTTTGTCACTCCTGGTCACTTCATCAATGTGACTTCTACGAATATGCTTCAGAACTAAAATGCACACTTCTTTCAGTCTGATAACGTTGTTCTGTGTGTATGTGTCTAAACCTGAGATCTCAAGCTGTTGTTTACAAAGGATATTCTTTTCTCTCAAGGAGAAAACATTGTCAATTAACTCCATTCTTTTCTCCACGATCATGTTAGGAAGGTTATCCTTTGACAAATGACATTCTCTGTGAGTTTCTTGAACAGGTTCCTGCTCCTCTGAGATCATGTGATCAGCACCAGATGAGACCACTTGTGGTGCACCATTTGTGAAATTGTCATGATTGCTGTCAACTAACTCTGTTCTTTTCTCCACAGTCATGTTAGGACGCTCATCATTTGGCAAATGACATTCTCTGTGAATTTCTTGTACAGGTTCCTGCACTTCTGAGATCATCTGCTCAGCACCAGATGAGATCACTTGTGGTGCACCATTTGTGAAATTGTCATGATTGTTGTCAACTAACTCTGTTCTTTTCTCCACAATCATGTTAGGAAGCTCATCATTTGACACATGACATTCTCCATGAGTGTCCTGGATAGGTTCCTGCACCTCTGGGATCATATGCTCAGCACTAGATGAAACCTCTTGTGGTCCAGTACTCGTCAAATTACCATGATCCATTTCCTTACTTTGGAGCATGTGGTTGTTTCTCAAGTTGGTAGAGGTCTCCTCCCATGAGATTTGGGTGTCCTCTACTGACACTGGTTGACCATTGATGCTAGTTTCAATTGCTCTATTTGGATTTTTTTCCTCTGGGAACCTTAATCTTCCATAGATGAATGATGCAAGCTCTTCATTGCACTCACAGTTCAAGCTTTTTCCAGCAAGGGCAATCGACTCTCCACAATTTATCTTATACTTAAGAACAGAAGCAGCATGCCAACACTGGAGAAAAAGATTACAGAACGTTAGCTCTTTTTTTTTGAGAAAACGCAAAAGCTTTGCATTTCATTGTATTGAAAAGAAGTAGTTTGGTACAATCCTCCTAGGAGGCCAGCTACAGGGCACGTTAGCATATTTGATAAACATAAATATGAAAAATGAAAATGCAATGACTTTGCGGGTCTCGTTCTTACCAAGGATATGATGATTGCGTGCAGTATGCTCACTGGCTCTGTAACAACAAGATGATTCTTCAAAAAATACTCAAACAACTGTTCAGCCATAGCTCTTACATCATCCTGCATTTCCAATTTACACAAGATGCTCATTAGCCAGGTAAGCATGAAGAATCAGTGCAAGAGCAAAGCAAAAGAATGAACAAATGAGAAAGGCACATAACAAAAATCAAAAGAACCATTAGCGAGAATATTTTCCATATTCCAGTACTAAATCTTTGTTTCACATGGGTGTCAACTGTCAAGAATGTATAATCATTAGGCATAACAGATTAAATTACAGAAAGTGCAACAGAGCATATCTGAACTGCAGACAGTCAGACATATTTAGCAGCTCTTTTCTACTTTAGGTTACTTTTTTCCCTAATCACAGTCCTCAAGACAGGCATATATGAAAGCTCTTGAGAATGTACCAGAATTGGTGTGTTAATACATAAAACTCTTCTACAGTATAACTTTCAGCTTGTCAAGGTGAGTCAGACAAGCTTTAAATATCGGCTCTTGAGTTGTGAGTGTGACCTACATGAAACTTGAGGGCTAGTGTCGACTTATAGCCTAGCTGACATATTATATCTGATTACCATATACGCAATGTGCCCATGAATAACTGCACTTTGAAAATTTCGCCATGACAAACTAGCCAAGAGACAGAAAACAGTAGAGACCAACCATCAAAACAAGGGAGTAAGGGTTGGTCTTACTACCGTTTATGACAAAAGCCCCACTAGATGTAGTTGTGGCACTCGCTGGCAGTTAGTTTAGCCATTTTTTATGTGAGTTTCATTCAGGTGCAAGGAAAGATTCAATTTAGGATTATCGTTTGCTTGTTTTTGGATGCAGATAATAACCAGTTTGTACGCTTTCTGTAACCTTCTGTACATTAGCAGAACATATTCTAAGTTCTAAGCATAAAAATGTGACTTCTTTGCATCCTGCCAATAGCATGCCATGATGAGAGAGAGAGAGAGAGAGAGAGAGAACTAAGAAAATTCATACCGGCAACTGTAGGGCCGTAATTAATTTTGATAGCTCTTTCTTAAGTTGGATGTGAAGATTCTTGGGTGTGCTCATTCGCTTTTCAACCCCTTCAGAACAAAAATTGCATCAGAACAATGTAATATGCAAATCTGCAGCTGAATGTATTCTGTGATGATGATCATGATACCTAATTTTTGTTGTGTGTCATCAAGCGGTTGAAGAGCAGGACTCGATGTAGAACAGTTTTCAGGCAACATATCATCATGATTGTTGTCAGGTGAACTTTTTGAAGATGGACCTGTGATTTCGCCAACCTTTCTACGCTTCCTTCTGCTTTGATTGGCTTCTTCAGCAGGATCCTTGGCTCGTTCTTCCAAGTTCTGTACGATCATATGGCTTGATTGTGGTGGCTCAGATATATAGCTCCAACCAGGGGGTTTTCCATCCAGTAAATTTGACCAGAAATTAGATGGATCTCCATCCAATGCACGCATTTCCTCTTTTTCACCAATTAGAGTAATGTTTCTTGAGTAAAATTTCCCGCTCATATTGGCTTCCGATATGGATGTGCAGGCAATTTTGGTGCTGCCTACAATATTTGTGGCTAATTTTCCCAAGAACTCTGAAATTACTTTATTCATAAAGTTGTCTCTTTCAGAGCTTTTACTTGCACAGTTGTCATGCTTAAGCTCATCAAGTCTAGAGAAGAGACATGATGCACCCCAACTAATCAAGGAATGGCTTATGCTGTGTGTTATATCCTTATCAATTAGCATCCCCTGTTTTGCAAGCACAAGCCACTTCTCCTCCATTGTGAAAGGAGTGTATAAGCGAAAAATACTTGGATGCCTAAGTTGTGCCTCTATTTTGATTTTTTCAAGAGCATTTTGATCATTTAGTGGGTTCCGGTCACTATTATATATAATAATGGCATCGACAGATGACAGCTCAATACTTGGGAGGCATGCACTTGTTTCAATCAGAAAAACAAATCTCCCCTTAGTCTTGTCATTGAACTTATTAAGTGCCACTGCTTTCTTTGAGAATGATCCACGAAATTCAACACGTTCATATGACTCCGGGCCAAATTTGTGACGCACAACAGTTTCCAATGTATCACCCACTGAGCTTCCACCTGCTACACCAGACTGCCAGGACATCCCAAAAAACATGCTCAGTTAAGAAAAAATGAAGGACTTCTCGAAGACACAAATTTCATAGAGGAGCATCAAGGGAATACGTCAATAAGAAATGACAACATTGTTGAGTACTTGAAGTAACATGTTTGGAACAATAAGTGAAATGGCACTTGCATGTCACTAGGAGGAATTTGTCATATATTATTTCTTTCTATTGTTAATTACTTGTTATAAGAAAAGTACTTTTGCACATCATGGCAACAACGTGTTCACTCGTGTAAAAATCTACTGAAATAAATAGCATATCGGCATTTTATGTGGCGGTCATGACATCGCACCTGAGGCAAAGTGCAAGCAAGATAGCTAATGAGCTAAGATATTCAAAGCTAAGAAATTAATTATACAAGTTCAGCTTCTAAAAAATGTATGGCAGCAATGTTTTAAAAACAGTGATTGTATGGCATAAAAAAGGAACAGGTGCCCTACATGTTACCATACAATCAACAGTTAGGACACATAACTGGACTACTTGGAGAGAAATAATTAATAGTAGATGCATGACTGAACGAATACCATATAACAATTTTCAGAACCATGATTGGTTGATCAACTGATTACCATCAATATTAGCCAATAGATAACGTGAAACATTCTAGGATGATAAATCAATCGTATAACATGCAACAACTACAGAGATCTAAGATTCGATAAATTATGCCACACATGATCATAAGTAAAAGAGGGTAATGCCATGAGTATCTCACTTGAAAAAGAATAATAACTCTTAGCCTCTTGTTCCTTATTGCTTCAAGCATTTTTTGAAGAAGCAGTAGCTTGCCACATGCTTGCACTCTCGTAACTATAGGATCAGTGTGATCATGATTGTTGACAGGAGGTCGCAGGGATTCATCAACAAGGTAAGGGTCATCACAGCACTAACATAACGACATGAAGAACAGATCAAAGTCAGTAACAGAGCCATAACTTTGCAGAAGAAGGAATAAAGTACGTGTATTGCAGATTGCATATAGACTGTTATCATACAAGCCGTAAATTTGTTTGCAAAGCACACCTTTGAGAGAGACATAATAATGTCATAAAGAGCTTTATCACTTTTCATCTGCAACTGGAGGACAGATGAGTTTGAAAGCAGTATGGAACAATATATCTGCAGCTGCAGTTGTGAAATGTAAGCAGGAACCCAGTGCTCCAATATTTTTAAAGAATCTGCTTGACGCTCATATGCAATATGACTTTTGAAGTTTCCTTCCAGCATCATAAGGGTCTCAGCAGTATCAACGCGATCGCCATTTTCTTGCTCTCCAGAATTAAGGAATGCTAGAAGTTTCACGTGCTCGGGAAGATTATCCTGCAAAATAACAATATAGCATGGCTTATTTGTGGTATAGAAAAACTGACCGGCCAGAGCTATTGATAGGCACCTTAATTTGGGAGCTCACAAGCAACATTCTGAAGTCAGTGGGAATTTCCTTCAGTTGTTCGAGATATTGTAGAGCTGACTTTTCATAACAATCAACTATGACTGCTTCCCAACCAATGTGTGCTATAGGTTCAATATCCTGTGTCATGGCAGAGAGATCACAATTAAATGACAAACATAAGCTTGAGAGATGGGCTAGGGGTGTAGTAACAACGACAAAAATATGATCTAGGTATCTATGTGCTCTTAATTGGTAAGCAGCATTTGCACACTAAGACTAGGCAAGGAAATACTTAGCAGTTGGCACTTACCTCTAGGATAGCATCAGGATGGGATAAGAGAACCTGTAACATACTGCGGCTTCCACTCTCATAGAATTCCAAATCTCGAATTAATTTCAGCTCATCTTTCCCCCCGTCATACACAACAACATTGATAAATGGTGCCAACTTATTGAACTGAACCTCCCATAAGGACAGAGAACCAGGGGTTGTGACAATTAGAAAAGGTTGGCTGATGTCAGGTAATACAGACATTGTGAATAACACGGTCTTCATTACATACTCCTGCATAATAAATGAGTTAAGCATCGAGTCCTTTTTATTTAGAAAGGAGTTCAAAATTAACCAAGTACAACTGTGAGAGATGTACTTATAATTGTAAATTGTTGCATCCCTGTAAACAAAGCAATAGAACATCTCACAATGCGGTGGCCATAACTACTATGAACAAGAATGTGGGTGAAAAACTAGAGTAGATGGACTAGTGATGCTAAGCTACTTGCATGGTTCCTACCTTCTCATCGATAAGAACAGCACCATGAGATTTGTGCCAGTACTCTCGAAGGTGATTGATTGAACACAAGTGATCATTGTCAAAATCAGGATGGCACCCATCTGGCAATCTCTCAAGTTTCTGGAATGAGCTTTGCTTAACCTGTAAAGACAATTAATATTATACAGAAGAGCTTAAGTAGAAGTTCCACGAAAATGTTAAGTTTCAAGCACACTCATAACTAACTTGTGACAAAGAGAACAGCGATAAAGATATTGTCAATGTCGTGATAGTTCAATAAAGCCAGAAAAATAAAGATAACTTTCAAGGGCTAGCTAAATACTTATGGGTTGCTATGGATGTTAAATAATCATGCCTATAGAAGTTCTTTTTTTTCTGCATGAATTGTTTGTAGAAAGAAAAACTCAAAATACACATCAATTGAATCAACTAATCAAAAGATCATGATACATCTGTCTACTGCATAGAATGTATGATAACTACATGAATTCATTTTTTTAGGTAATCTCTGAGGGTGAATGGACTGACACCAACTCAGATCTTTATAAGAATTAAAAAAAATGGAATTGGCAGATCAGTTAACACAGTTTTCAGTTTTCTTAGTCTTGGTGGCTAGTATCATGGATCATCTAAAACAGCAAAAATCTTAATGGTATAGACAGCCTAGAAAACGGATGTTACATTTCTATGAAGTTTATCTTCGAACTGACCAGGCTATATTTTCTACCAGAGTCATGTCAATATGTCATGCATGAATTAAAAGTAATATCAGGCAAGCTATAGCAATAAAATTGGTTTTTCCCACCACACCTTTGTTTTTTGGGGAACAGATGATTGTTTTGCAGCTTCACGGCGGTTCTCGTAGTTCTTTTTAAGTTCGTCAGCTTCCGGCGTACATAAACAGGATGAAGTCTCTAGTTCCCATGTTGCATGATCATAGCCAAGACCCCTCCATTTCACTAACCATTCAAGAGTACAATATGTATAATTGACACCAGTTGAGCAAAAGAAATCATCAGCGCAGAAGAAATCATCAGCCAATTTGGGGGGCACAAGTAGCCTCTTCCTCAACAGGCGATGTGGCTTAGTCCATTCCTCCTTCCAAATTGTCTGGGGAATCATTTCACAAGAAAAACATAAGCATGGATCTTTTGCAAAGCCTGAGTCATCCTTCATAGGCACGAAGAAATAAAGTTCACCACAAAAATAATCACCTTTTCAGTATGATTCCTCTTGTTAAACAAGGAAAGAAGATCAGGACCTCCAGGCATGACCTTAATATCACCTTCTGGAATCCAACGGTTATGGACATGTGCCAGATTTTTATACTTGACAAAATACTGCTTGCTAGTTTGCATTCCTACAAACATAGAACCAATAAACAGAGGCACTAAATTAGGAAATAGAAGGCAATACTGCTAGGATAAACTTTGATTTTGTTTCATGCAAGATTATTTTTTTGTTCTTTGCTTACCCTCAGCCTCCTTGACATTCCACACAGACTCTATCCCATCAACAATATAATGTAAGCCAAACTGCAACCTCTTTTTTGTACAGCTGGTACAGAACCAATTCCCAAGGGACAAATATTGATCCAGACAAGACATATGGTACCTACTTTTGCAACCTTTTCCACCACAAGACCTATTACCAATTGAATATATACATCAGATCATCACAAAGTGAATATTGTGCATGATGGACCAAAAGTATACACAGAAGATTAATAATATACAAAGATCAGATGAGAGGTTTTAATAGTGTGTTCTCTTTCCATGATAAGCAGTATAAAAGAACAGGAGATTTACAAGTTCAGTTAGAAATTGGTTTCATAAAACAGGTCAAGTAACGAAAAGTCAAGATCTTCAATATTTGCACATATAGGGATGTACACGCTCATGTATTGAGGGAAGAATATTTTTCATTCCCAAACCGCAATAATATGTTCTTATGGTATCCTAGAGAAATGGCTTCATTTGCATTACTGTTTTCTGTACTAGTAAATACTGATGGAAAAAAATGAATCAACTTACCTAAAAGTTCCTGGGGTTCCACGACCACAAGCAGCACATATGTTGGAGTTACCATCTGTTCCATCAGATTGGGTCACCTTGAGATGTCCTGAAGCTGAATTTTCTTTTGGAACAGTAATAGGTTCACCATCTCCAACTGTGCTCTTAATCTAACATAATATCAAAAGTTGGACCCGATCACGTTGATGCATAAAAATCAGAAAGCACGTCATACTTCTTTTTTGGGGAAAACAAATTTTTTA